ATATATGGCCCTGCATCCTCAATACCCCATCATCATCAATAGTCATATCTATGGCATCATCGTGCTGAACTCTGTCTTTGAGGACAAGTAAATGAGGATCATCATACTGGCACTCTCTGATGTGGTCAAACAAGGAAGACCGAGAAACCACACAAGCTAAAACTCATCTGGGCTCCGAAATATCCAACCTCACGAACCGATTGGCCAAGGCCTGAACATCAAATGCAATAGGTCTCCCCTCAACAGGAATATATGCGAAACTACCCATACTCACTACCTTCCTACTCAAGGCATTGGCCACTACATTGGCCTTTCTCGGATGGTACAAGATAGTGATATCATATTCCTTTAGCAGCTCCAACCATCTTCGCTGCCTCAAATTGAGATCCTTCTACTTGAACAAGTGTTGGAGGCTACGATGATCAGTAAACACCTTACAAGACACACCATACAAGTAATGCCTCCAAATATTCAACGCGTGAAAAATGGCAGCCAACTCTAGATCATGAACAGGGTAGTTCTTCTCATGAGGCTTCAACTGACGAGAAGCATAAGCAATCACTCTACCCTCCTGCATCAACACACACCCAATACCAACTCTCAAAGCATAACAATAAATTGTATATGAACCTGAAGCTGATGGCAAAACCAACACTAGAGCTGTGGTCAAGGCAGTCTTGAGCTTCTAAAAGCTCACCTTACACTCATTCGACCACCTAAATGGAGCACCCTTTTGAGTCAATTTGGCCAAGGGTGATGCAATAGATGAAAATCCCTAAACGAACTGATAGTAATAACCCGCCAAACTAAGAAAACTTCGAATCTCTATGGCTGAGGACGGTTTGGGCCAACTTTGAACCACCTCTATCTTCTTCGGATCAACCTGAATACCCTCACTGGACACCACGTGTCCCAAGAAAGCCACTGAATTGAGCCAAAACTCACACTTGGAGAACTTTGTATAAAGCTTCTCCTCCCTCAATCTCTATAATACAACTCTCAAATGCTCCGCGTGCTCCTCCTAACTACACGAATATACCTAAGTATCATCAATGAATACAATAATGAATGAGTCGAGATAAGGTCAAAACACGCTGTTCATCAAATGCATGAACGCTGTTAGGTTATTGCTCAGCCCGAAAGACATCACAAGGAACTCATAATGACCATATCAGGTCCTGAAAGCTGTCTTAAGAATATTTGAGTCCCTGATCTTCAATTGGTGATACCCTGACTGGAGATCAATCTTGGAGAACACTCTCGCTCCCTGAAGCTGGTCGAATAAATCATCAATACGAGGCAAGTGATACTTGTTCTTGATTGTAACTTTGTTCAACTGCCTGTAGTCAATGCACATCTTTATCGTGCCATCTGTTTTTTCACAAATAGAACAGGCGCACCCCACAGCGACACACTAGGCCGAATAAACCCCTTATCAAGGAGTTCCTGAAGCTGCTCTTTCAACTCTTTCAATTCCGCCGGTGCCATACGATACGGTGGAATAGAAATAGGTTGAGTGCTCGGCACAAAATCAATACAAAAATCAATATCCCTGTCCGGGGGCATGCCTGACAGGTATGCAGGAAACACATCCGGAAAGTCCGTCTCTACCGGGACTAAAACAATACTAGGAGTCTCTGCACTGACATCCCTCACAAAAGCTAAGTATGAGAGACAACCTTCCCCAACCATCCGCTGGGCCTTCATAAATGAAATCACCCTACTGAGGACAAAATCAGTTGAACCTCGCCACTCAATCCGTGCCACACCCGACATAGCCAATATCACTGTCTTAGCATGACAATCTAATATAGCACGACACAGAGACAACCAATCCATTCCTAATATCATATCAAAGTCCACCATACAAAGCAACAAAAGGTCCACTCGAGTCTCCAAACCCCCAATAGTCGCTACACACGACCGGTATACACGATTCACAATAATAGTATCGCCCATCGGAGTATATACACAAATAAATGAAACAAGAGACTCACGGGGTAAATCCAAATACCGAGCAAAATATGACACATATGAAAAGGTGGAACCAGGATCAAATAACGCAGATGTATCTCTGTGGCAAACTGAGATAATACATGTAATCACGGCATCCAAAGCAATAGAATCTGATCTAGCTGGGAGTGCATAGAAACGGGTTTGACCACTACCGGATCGACCTCCCCCTCTGGGGCGACCCCTAGATGACTGACCCCCACCCCTAGCTGCCTGAGTGGGTGGTGAAGTAACTGGAGCTAAAGTCGAGGGCTGACTCCTCTGAGCTGGACTCCCAAGAAGACGAGGACATTGCCTCCTCATATGCCCGAACTCTCCACACTCATAACAACTCTCTGGTGCTGGAGACGGGGACTGAAGGGAATCCCTAGCACCGAGATGTCTGGCAAAAGAACCTAGTGCGGAAAAGCCCTCAACTAATGGAGCACGGGACGAACTCTGGGCTGGAAGGGCACTAAATGATGAATGACCCTGATGAGAACTGTGAGAACCATGGCCGGATGATACCCCATGATGAACTGGGTGAGCTGACTGAGCATGTCTGAATGGACGGCCCCTGCTGTGCTGAAACCGGCCTCTCGAAGGAGCGCCACCAAAACTACCAGATCCTCGAGACCTCTTGGCCTCCCTCTCGTCTCGCTCCTAGTGACGAACTGACTCAATCTCGTGGGCAATATCAACAACCTACTCAAAGGTAGCACCTGATACCCTCTCTCTGGTCATCAGAATCTGAAGCTGATATGTGAGGCCATCCACAAACCTCCTAATACTCTCTCTATCCATAGGAACCAACCAAACAACATGACAAGCTAACTCTGAATATCTCATCTCTGAAAATCTCATCTCGTACTGCGTCACAGTCATATCATCCTGACTCAACTGCTCGAACTGCTTGCGCAGCTCCTCTCTGCGAGACTATGGCACATGCTTCTCCAAAAAGAGAGAAGAGAACTGCTGCCAAGTAAGGGGTACTGTATCAACAGGCCTACGCCTCTCATAAGCCTCTTCACCACTGAAGGTCAGAGGCTGAAGTCTACTAAACCTCTCCAATCGATGCTGCTCATCGTCAAGCATAACTGGTACCACATAATCCTAGGTTGGTGCAACCGGCTGAGCTGGAGGTGCCCCTGATGTCTGATGTCCCTGCACAACCTACTCAAGTGTGCGAGCAGCGGGAGTCTGAGTGCCTCCCCTAACCTGAGAAGTGGCTACAACCGTAGTAGCTGAGACCGCTTGAGCCAGGCCAGTGCACACTGATAGAATCTGGACTAATGCCTCCTGAAGGCCTGGAATAACAATCGGCACAGCCGGTGCTTGAGCTGTACTGCTGGAGCGTCTGCAACTAGGATCTGATCATGACCTGGGCGGTTGGTGGATCTGCAGGTGCTGCCCTAGCTGCTGTGCGGGCTATACCCATGCCCCTACCATGGCCTCAACTGCGTCCTCGACCTCTAGTGGCCCTAACTAGTGGTACTGGTGGTCGTCCATCCTGACTGGTAGCACGTGTCCTCAACATCTGTGAAGATATAGAATAATAAAAGTTTAGTACCAGAATCAACAGATTCACACGATAGGAATTTCAAGAATGTGAAGTTTTTCCTAAAGGTTCTACAGCCTCCCAAGGATAAGTACAGACATCTCCATACCGATCCGCGAGACTCTACTAAACCAACTCATGACCCGTGAGACCTATGTAACCTAGGCTCTGATACCATCTTGTCACGACCCCAAACCACCCCGATCGTGATGGTGCCTATCACAGTACTAGGCAAGCCGATTCAACATTTACAACATCGAGTTCTTTTATAAATTCATTTTTCTAATCAGATAAGTCTCAAATATCTCATTTGTAATCTATATAAAAATACGCGGAAACAAGTACGTAAATACATCAACACAACCCAAATCTGGTGCCACTAGTCATGAGCCACTAAGTACAAATCAACACTGTCTACTTAATACAAAATAAGTCTGAAATATAAAATACTAGAATAGGAAGGAGAAAGGCAGGGCTGCGAATGCCGTGCAACTACCTTGCTATCTCCGGAAATACTCAGAAGCTATCGAAAGCTCTCACCCTGATGCTCTGGCACCTGGATCTGCACACAAGGTGTAGGGAGTAACGTGGGTATGCCAACTCAATAACTAACCAAAGTAAATAAAGTCTGAGTGCAATGACGAGCATTTAAAATCATATGCATACTTTATCAAGAATCTCAACAGAAATAACATAGTCAAAATCTGCCGTTCAATGACTGTATATCTCGTAAAACTCCAGTTTCAATTAAAATCCTTTAAAACATTTATTCAATATTTTTCAATAGAGGCTTAGTATAAAGGAAGAGTGAAAACAGGAAAAATCTCATAAACAAGCCCCTTGGGCAAAGTATCACTCATAAGTATAGCCTCTCGGGCAAGACTCTCAGTTACTCGTGACTCAACTCTCGTCAATTAGTACTCACACTCAGCACTCCCGCTCAATAGATATCTCATATAGAAATATATAATCCTCACCATCAGAACCTCGAGCTCTCTCTTAGTCATTAACTTCACAGCCACTCGGGTATTTCAGTGAAAATCAGGGAACTCAACCCAAATAGTTTTTCTTATATTTGAAAGTAGAGTACACTACCAAAAAATGGGCCTATGGGAACAGTTATTTTTGCAACGGTTTGTGAACCGTTGCCATAGACCAGATATAGTAACGGTTGCAACCGTTACAATAGAATTTGGGTGGTATCAGCACACTTTAGCCATCAAACCGTTGCAATTGTGGCAAAACCGTTGCCATAGAGGTTTGTTTCGCAACAGATGTTTAAACCGTCCCAATAGACATATATATGACACCGGCTAGTGAAAAAAATTCTATGGGAACAGGTATTCATTCCCCCTCGTTTTTTCCCAAAATTTTAGTGAGCCCGCCAACCTGACCTGTCATTTTTTATATTTTAATTAATTTTAATAAAGTAAATACAATAAACATTAACCCACCTCCATTATAGTCATATAGTCGTCGATACAACCAAACTCCGATCCCATCTCTCTTTTCTTTTTGCCTTGGATTCAAGAATCCATCTCCTAAATCCTCTCTTGGCCGAATTTCTTCCAAATCTTTCAGATTTACTTTGTCACTTTCACTCTCTCTATATCTATGCAATTACCTCTTCATTGGACCACAATAATCATCAAGCCCTAGAGTTCCCAAAGCCGATAACGTGGTCGCCCTTCACCATTTTCCGTTGGTCTTTCCGGCACTTCTCTGAAGCTTCGCAGGTTACAAATCCAATGAACTCAGATACCCACTTCTTCAAGGACCATTGCTAGCCTTACCAAAATCTCCAAATTCTAAATCATATTTGTGCTCGAATCAGAGAAGCCCAAAATCACCATATGCCTGGTAATTTTCTCTCTTCTTTTGGTAATTTTTACTGTGTTTTTTAGTTCTTGGCAAAAAGGTTCTTAATTCATGCTTTAGTCTTTGGGTTCTTTGTTTAATTCATGTTGTAGTCTTGGCAAAAAGGTTCTTAATTCAAACGTGTTTTATGTGTCCGATGTAGTCTTTTGGGTGTTCATTTTCCTAGGCTTTTGTTTGCTGCTGATAATGGAAAGCCCTGAAAACTTGGGTTTCAGTTTCTATCCTGATGGGAAATTCTGTAATGGATTCGAGCAAGTACTGAGTTGATATAGACAATTAGTTCCTCAGTTACGCCTTTTAGGACCAACATTGTTCGCTCCTATTATTGAAATGGCAATCAGTATTGTAGAGCGGAGTGGTGGCCAGTACCATGTTTTATTGATAATCACGGATGGACAGGTTGGAAATGGAAATCTTACAAGAAATGCGCGTAACAGATTAAACCCTTAAGAGAAGAGAACAATTGAAGCAATTGTGAGAGCAAGTAAATACGCCTTGTCTATTGTTGTAGTTGGGGTTGGAGATGGACCGTGGGATATGATGAGGGAATTCGATGACAATATACCTGCTCAAGCCTTTGACAATTTCCTAGGCTTTTGTTTGCTGCCAGAATACAAAAGCATTCTGTTGAATTTGCCTCATATGAGCTAATAAAAACTTGGGTTCTAGAGACATTTATCTAAGCATGAAGCTTTAGTTTTCATCCACTAATTTCTATATTACATTGCTTTAACTTTTTATACTACTATATTCTAACAATTTTCGTCTTAATTTTATTGCAGGGAATTTTTCATACTGAGATTGATACTTGAAGCTTTTTTTTGCCCGCAAATTCTTGGTTTTTCTTAAGGCTGGATCTCGATCGCTGTAATAGCAATCTGGTTTGTTCTCCTTTCCCACTTTATTAACTGATTGAAAATAAGATTTTGACTTGATTTGACTTGCGGATTAGATGTACTTTTAGTATAACGAGTGGTTAGAATTGCAAATTTGGCTATGGAGTTGAACGGACGATGCTTCAATTGTGATTTCCTTGTATGCTTTGACTTGAATATGTCAAATATTTGTATTTCTTGTAATTTGTCAACGGCTAATGTAACAAGACTCATTTTTTTGGTAGCTTCAAGTGATGTTAATTTAACAAATTTACTAATTTTGTACGTGTACTGGTCCCTTAATTTTATAATGTTGGAAATAAATCAGTATTAACGCACTAGCAGATATATGGAGCGAGATTTAATTTGTGTGTAATCAGATTACAAAATATAATCAATTAACTAGGCTTATTTCCAAAGTGGCAGCTGTTTTTACTTAACTTGTAGTAAGAATAACAACGACTTATATCGAGTGATAGATTGATCAACAAATGGACAAAGAAACTTTGCAACAGTTCTCTTCTTAAATGTTTACTTGGAATGGACGTTTATTGGGATGGTTCTAACCGTTGCAATATTACATGGCTGATACTAGCACACTTTGGCTATAAAACCGTTGACATTAATTAGAAGGAACGTAATGGTTTTTATTGTTTAAACATGACTCTACACATTCTTTGAAAAGTATAATAACTTAATCACATCTTTCCTATTCATATTGTTAGAGTTGATTTTTAAGAAGTTAACTTTTAAAGGTCTTAAATTGTGACTTTATGAGTTTCACCCTTAAAAGCAGTGGTCAATGTCAAATTAATATGCTTTTGGTTTATTTGGCTAATTTTGTTGATTTACTTTTATCGTATAAGATATTTATGGATAATGGTGATAAAAGTTGGATGAATCTCCTGAGATGGACGGATGAGTATATCCATGGAGTGAATGATTTTCTTGATAAGGCATTTAAACGAGCCGCCCAAGGAAATGAAATATTATGCCCTTGCAAAAAGTTCATGAATCGCTATTGGTTATAGAAATGTGGTGGAGGATCATTTGGTTGTTCATGGATTTGTTGATGGTTATACCAAATGGGTTTTTTACGGGGAAGGATTTTCCTCGAGAAATACACCTCATCCAAGCAATGGTGATGAATGTTCTACCATGTGTGACGATATTGTTGGACTACTTCATGATACATTTAGAAATATTGAGGGTCAGGCAGGGGATGAGGAAGGAGTTGGGGAAAGACTATCTGAAGATGCAAAGAAGTTTTTCAAATTGCTGGAGGAAGGAAAACAAGAGTTATATATACAGGGTGTGAAAATTTCAGTAAACTGAGTTTCACTATTTGATTGTACTTGCTTAAATCCTTGCATGGGTTGAGTAATGTGGCTTTCTCCGATTTGTTAGAGTTGATAAAAGAGGCATTTCCCTTTGCTCAGGTACCAGAGTCTTTCAACAAGGCTAGAAACATGATAACGGATTTGGGTCTTCATTATGAAAAAATACATGCATGCCCTAATGATTGCATGTTATTTTGGAAAGAAAATGTGAATGCCGATAATTGTTCTATTTGCTGGTAGTAACACTCAAGGTCAGTACGTACCAAATGTTATACATCTTCTTCTATTTCTTGTTCTCCTCCTTCCTTGCTTGGGATTTTTCTTTGGTTCAAGGCAGAGTGGATATGGTAATATCCTTTTTCTATTTAGTAGGAGTATATGATTTCTTAAGTGCCAAGTGGTCTCGTATGTATAGTAAGAATACCCGAGTAATACTGGCAGTTCTATGATAGTAGAACTTTGAGAATTTAAATTGGAATAGATAGACAGGTTGATGCTTAAGACAAAGTTATGGAATTGACTTCTCTGTATGTCACGACCCAAACTGGAGGGCCATGACTAGCACCCGACCATACTTGCCGAGCACCAACGTACATTTTATCTAACTTTTTTTTAATTATATTTTAGGGTTGATGAGATCAATATAAATGGTAGACCTGGATCATGGACAACCAACAATAAAAACTGATGGCATGAACATATATAATATGGGATGACCATACAATCAAGAAACTATATATAAGGTATGAGCTACCACGCTACCATGAAAGACTATACAACAAAAACTAGCCGACAAGGCATACCAAACTATACATGAGTCGAC